AGCCATCTCCTCTGCCTTGTTTTAATAATTTGTGAATAATTTTCTTTCTACTAAAATACTTGAAGAACACTTGTTCATTACTCTTTTTCTCTTTACTTAGACAAAAATACCTTATACTCAGAGTTAAGGAAGGTTTATTCGGCTCATAGTTTGTGGAAATATCAGTCCATAATCAGCTGGTTCCAAAGCAGAGTGGCCTGGCACAGGGGCAACACTTCATGGCAAGAGACTACAGAAAAAGCAAAAAGCATAAAGGGGGCAAGAGCAATCTCTTTTTCCTCCCTTACTTGTAAGCAAGCTATCAGCCCTCAGGGTGGGTTTAGCACTGATAGTCTCCATGCTGTTCTTTTGCACAAGATGAGGATATTTACAAAGTTAGGCTCCTGACCCCCTACTGAGTGGTTGAATTAAATTTCTAAACTTCCCAAGCTGATACAATGTATCAACCATTACAGACACTTAAATGTCCTTTGACTATTTTAAACACTTGCATTGTTACTTTCTCTAGGAATAGTTACCCTAGATTCACAATTTAGTGGTAGAATCAGACTTTACTCTTAATTATAAAAATTATCAAATTTAACGGTTATTATGTCTTTCTTGGTTTTTCTTAGAATTAAAGAGTAACCAGAGTAACGTACTCTTTCCAAGACTGAGGAAAGTGTTGTTGGCTGAACTCCAGGGACAAGAGTGCCATTTTTAGATGTCATCCATTCTCATGTATTGCTTAGTGTTTTGTCCTAGAGAGAGGATGAGTACTGTGGCAGGATGAATTCTCTGCTGTTAAAAAGAAACATTTCAGGAATGGAAAACATCTGAAATATATAAGCTAGGATTTACCCAAAATACTAAGTTTACAGATGGAAACTGCCTGGCTCTAAAGAGTATTTCTCGAAAGGTGAAATGTTGGGTATATTTCAGAATTAAAATGCTGCTCAAACTTTTGAGGAGGAGGTGGGCAGTAGTCTTAAAGAATGACTGATGCAGTGAAAACATGAGAAATTTAATAGAGGAAAAGATAGAAACAGGTGATTTGCATTGGTGGAATGTCCTGAAATGGAGAAATCATCAGCTCATTAAATGAATTCCAGGGTAGAAAGGGAATTGGCAGTTTTATGTGCAACCAATTTACGTGCATGTGATACAAACACTAACGTGTCAGCACCCGTAAGTCATTGGGTCTGCACTGTAGGCTTAGAATTTAAACATTATAAAAGAAATTGTAGGATCTTCTTTACCTACTTTTTGGGGTGGAGATTTGTCTTAGTTACTTTTTACTCATTGCTGGGACTCAAGCTCTTCTGAAGACTGGGACTTTTCCATGGAAGTAGGGCATGGGTGGTGGGAAGCCTTGCTCAACCCCTTTATATACACTTTTTGTGCTGAGTCACTCAGGGGTGGCCCATGGCCCTAGGGTGGAACCAATCCCACTCCAGGTTGGGCCCTGCCCACCTATAGGGCGGGGCCCTCACTTCCAGAACTGCCAGAGCCATTTCAGCCAAGTTGACACAGTGTATCATCTACCACAGTCCACCCCTTGTCAACTTGGCAATTAGACATATACTTTTTAAAGCCAATTTTCAGGTACGTAGACATGCTTAAACATTTCACAACTTGAACATTGTGTAACATTAGAACCATGACAAGTTGCCCCTGGCTCTCCTAAGAATCATGCACATCCATTTATGCAAAAGATATTTTAGTCCATCTCTAAGAGTTGCCAAAGTCCTAATGGTTGCAGCATTGCTGAAAAGTCCAAGTCCCAAGCTTCCAAGATGTAAGGCAAACTCTTAGCTGTGAGCCCCTCTACAAATGAAAAATGTTTCCAACATTCAAAGGCACAAGATAAGCATTGCCATTCCAAAAGGTATATACAGCAAGGTACAATTGGGACTAAGGCAAGCCCAAGGTCCTGAAGGACAAGTGTTAAGTCCTGTAGTTCCATGTGGACCATCCAAAGCAACCTGTAATGAGTTGTGAGCTTCAAGAGTCTTACATGGTGTCCACCCTATGGCACTTCTGCGGGTAGCTCCTACAGCTTTTCTCTCAGGCCCGCTTTGTTCCCTTTTTTGCAGCTTTCCTCAGACCATCCATGTTTCTGGCTTTTTCAGACTTCTGAGATTTCCTTTGAATAAGCTTCTCACAGATTTACACATTGCCCTCTTGGGCACATTACCTGGCCTCCCAGGACTTCTGAAATCTAGGTGGAAGCCTTCTTAACCTCAGAACTACTGCATTCTGCATGCGCCTAAAGCCAGTGACACATGGATGATACCAAGGGCTGCTGCCAGCTGAAGCAGCAGTCAGGTTTCTTTCTTTCTTGACTGTAGGGGTTGAGTGCCTGAATCACTGAGCACTGTGATCTTGATTCTGAGAACAAATTCTCTATGCTGGCACCATTCTGTAATGTGGTGTGGCTGCCACCTCCATTCTGGAACATGGAGCTCTATGGCTTTCTCCTTAAAGCAAAATCCCTCACTCTTGCGACTCTGAGGCTTCAAAGGGTAAGAACCTGCCACCTCCTGTGATGCCCTCAGGACATCTTTTTTACTCTCCAGTTCCTTCTCAGAAATGGAGATCCTTTCATCTCTCTCTTCACAGTCAACATCCTTGCTGGCACTTCCTTTCTGGCCAAACTCACAACATTTTAAATCATCCTTCTGGGCTCTTTGCTCTTGACTCTCAGCATAAATCTGGCTAACAGCCCCAACAAGAACCACACCACTGCCCTAATATTTTGCTGCTATGAAATTTTTTTTTTCAAGATTAACTAGTCCACTGTGCTTAATGTCAGTCTCAGGCAAAGTCTCTGGACAGGAGCAAAATGCAGACAGACCTTCTGCCAAGCCATAACACAAATCATCCATAGTCCAACAACCAATGTTGTCCTTATTCCCAGCAGAAACCTCCCCAGCCTAGTCTTTACAGTCAGGCTTCCTATTAGCATTCTGGTCTGAGCTCTGGCCAGAATCTCCCAAACAGAACAGCTAAAGCTGTTTCAGCACTTTGTTTGTAGGCGACATCTCTGAACCTTTCCTCTCTCTTCCCATAAGCCATTCCCAAAAGTTTGTAATCCACATTGTCAGTATAGCCACAGAAATGACCCCATTCCTGATACCAAATTCCGTCTTTTTACTCATTGCTGGGACAAATACCCAACACTCAAAATGAAGGAAGGAAAGGTTTATTTAGCTTGCAGTTTGTGGAGGTTTCAGTTCATACTCTGCTAGCTCCAACGCAAACAACAGTAGTTCATGGTGGCAGAAAACAATGAAGAGCAGGGGAGGAGCAACCGCTGCAGCATCCATCAAGCCTCTCTGTTCCTTCTATGCTGACTATGAAGACTGGCACTCATTGCAAAGATCATCGGAGCTCCTCCAAAGTGGCGCGGCTGTGAAGATCAAGCATCTCTGAAGACTGGGACTTTTCCACAGAAATGAGGAAGAGGAGGCAGGAAGCCTTTCTCAACCTCTTTATGTACAATTTTTGTGCTGAGTCACTCAGAGGTGGCCCATGGCCCTAGTGTAGAATCAATCACACCCCAGATTGGGCCCTGCCCACCTACAGGGTGGGGTTTCCACTCCCAGAACTGCTGGAGCTGATTCAGCAAGTTGACGCAAAGTGTCAACTACCACAAGATTGATACTAGAACTTCTAATATGATTGCTGACAAAGAATGTTGGGTTCTGATAGTGTTTGAGATTAATACTCTATGTATGTGGAAGTAGGCCAAAGCTGCTGTAAGACAATAGACCTGGGATTGATATAAATAGTTATATTAGCTGTCTTGCTGACATACAGTGTCTGACACCTACAGTTTAAAGGAGGAGAGATCTAATTTGGCTCACGGTTTTAGGGGATTAAGCTCTGGTCAGCTGGCTCCAAGCCAGGAACATCATGACAGAAGAGCACAGCGGAGGAAAGCTGCTTAGTTCTTGGTGTCCCAGAAGCAGAGCAGAGCAGCAGTGGCAGAGAAGCAGCACTGGATAACCAGACATACACCCTCATGGCTGTGCCTCCATGGCTTACTCAGATGCGGTGGGAGGTGTGTTCCACCAGTCCCAGGGTGGATCCCACAGACAGTCCTGCTGACAGCCCACCTTAACTGCTAAAATACGTATTGTTAAATTTATTTACTATGGCAAGTTTACTTTTAGTCATACTTCTAAATCAAGAGAATAACTGCTTTCATTAAAATGTTTTGAGCATTATGTTGTCTGTGGCTATATACGAAATTACTTCTAAACCTTAATGACTTCAAACAACAGATATTTATGGCTTGGGTTTCATGGCTTGGGAATTCAAGAAGGGCTGAGCTGGGTGGTTGTGGTTCACAGTTTAGCAGAAAGACCATGGCAACTGTTAGTTTAGAAAAATGAGGGAAAAGCTGATGAATAAAAAGCGTCTTTCATTAGGGTAGTCGCTACTTTTTGACAGAACGTTACTGCTTGCATAAAAATTTACTGTCCTTTGGGAACATACACTATAGATTTATAATGTGACATTATTGTAAGACTGGGGATGTTCAGTGTCATGAAACTGATACTGTGAGTTGTATCACGGAACATTTTGTGGACTGGGTTGAGCTAAATTTTTAAAGTAGGTCAGAGGAAGAACCAGATTAAATTAACCCATTAATTTTGAGAATTTTTTTTTATTCCAGTCATTCTTTTGCAGACTCCATATTAGCATTTTAAGAATAACAATTAGTATTACATTTTGTTCTATTTCATGGTGTTGTAATTTGGTAAAATATAATCAATATCTGGTATAGAACTTTGTGTAATTTAAAGGAACTGCTGCATTTCACCATAGGTTTTTTTTTTGTTTTTTTTTCCATCAAGTTGGGTAAACATAAGTGGTAGCTTATATTTTTCTTAAAATTTCACTGGCTTAATGTTTTTATTTGAAAATTTTTTCCATTATGATACTTTTTCAAACTAAGTAAGTTTGAGTAAAATTGGTAATAAAAATAAGAGAAATTGTTTCTGATTTTTTAGATTGAACTTATATACCAACAAAATAATATAACAGTATTGGAAGATACAATAAAAAGGCTTAAATCTGTAAGTATTTCTTTTACAATTCTGTGTTAAGGAATAGTTTATATTTAGTAAGTTGTGAAAAAATATATATGGTGTGTGCGTGTGTGCATGCGTGCGCGCGCACACACACACACACACACACACCCCCATACTACTTTTTTCCTAAGGAGAGACAATAACTTTTCGTTAGGTTTATTAATGACTTTAGTGATTCTTGATTTAAAAGGATGGCTTTGAAAACTTTAATTCTCAAAATATAAGGTACATTTGTCTGCACATTAAATTTTATTGATCTTAGTAATACATATTTTTAATCATAAGTTTTGTTACTTAATTCTAAGCTGTAAGTTTTATTTATGAAATGAAAATTGCTCCGTTTAGATATTTTAATCTTAGCTAGGCATAGTGGTGCATACCTGTAATCCTAGCACTTGGGAGGCTGAGGCAGGAGGATCACAGTTCAAGACCAGCCTGGGTTACAAAGTGAGTTCAAGGTCAGCCTTAATGGGAGAGTGAAACCCTGCCTTAAAAAGACACACAGAAAATTAACCTTAAAATATTTCAGGTACTCTGAAAATGTTTACAATTTTTTGATAAATACAGAAATGTTTAAAAATTGTAAAATGTTTCTAAATATATTAATGTGAATGGGAATACATGAAAATATACTTGAGACCATGGAATAGGCAGTGTCTATTTAATTTATTAGTTCACTGAGCAATTATTGAACAAAGCTCAGACACTATAACAGATGTAAGTTTTTGTTAAAGGACACTAATTCTTTTCATAAGACTTGTGTTAGGTTTGGCGCATTTATAGCATCTGACATTTTTTTAATAAACCATTTTTTGGGGAGCCAGCCAGATAGCTCAGCAGATTAAAGTGCCTGCTTAGGCTGACTCATGGACCCAGGTTTGATCCCTGGCTTGTGGTGCAGGCCCCGCCCCCTGAGGGGGTGCTGAGACAGCAGTTGAGACTGGGTGTGGTGGCACATGCCTGTAATCCTAGGGCTTGGGAAGCTGAGAAACAGAGATCACTACAAGTCTTATCTCTGTAGTGAGACCCTGTAGACCCTCTACTAAATGCATAAAGAAAATAAAACAAAACATTTTTCCCCAAAATTATTGAGTAAATTTAGTGATTCTTTTAGTAAAAATAAAATAAATAAAGCAATCCAGAAACGGTAAAAATGGAATTACCAAATTATTTTTTTAACAATTATTCATAAGTTTTAAATAATCAATTTTTAGAATAACAAATTTAATATTTTTAAGGATCTTAATTTGTTTTTTTTAGAAAAGGATGCCACAATTTAGCTTGAGATAATGGTCTGATTTTTTCCTCCTTGGCAAGATAATTTTAGAGACTGAAAAAGCACAAAATAAATCTCCTTCTAGACTTGATTCCTTTGTCAAGACTTTAGAAGCAGACAGAGATTACTACAAAAGTGAAGCTCAACATTTGAGAAAAATGCTCAGAAATAGATCTAAAAGCCCGAGACGCCCATCTCCATCTTCCCGGGTAAGTTTGAAAACAGGTAAATATTTTGGTGTTTGTTTCTCATACACTGACTTGTATACTTCAACTTACTTAATCTGGAAGTAGTTCATTTTGATTGGTATGAATTGCTATGTCAAAGAGGCATGGTGGATGGGAATGTTGGTTCTTTAAATGTAATATAAATGCACAGTGGAGTCCAGCATCATACTCCCAGAAGGAAAAGCAAGACTAGGTCATTTACAGGTAAATAGATGGAACTGGACATCCTCATGTTGAGCTGAATCAGACAGACTCAGCGAGACAGGTGTTGCATCTTTCCCTTCATGTACAGACATGAATGAAACTAGGAAGATATTATGGGGAGACAAGGAGAGAGGAATGAGGGGTACAGGGAGGTGTGGGGTGGGGAAATTAGGAATTATATTATTAAGAATTCATGATGTTGACATGAATTTATTGTAGATGTCTAGTAGACTTCATTAAATGAAACAAGTTATAAAACAGTGTATGTGGCAATGCTGTTTTATTTTCAAATAATGCATTTATATAGCGATATCAATAAATCATCTAGAATGACGTTTACTTATGTGTTTTAACTGTCTCTGGGAGAGAGATGCTGAGCATGTTTTCTTTCTGTTTGAGTAGTTTTTGACTTGTGTTACTAAAGAATGTTTTTAAGTGAAGGACATTAAGAGTGCTATGAGTATGTGAGGTGCTGGATATGTTAGTACCTTAGTCAACTTCTTTTTCACTGAGACACCATGTGTGACACCCACAACTTAAAGGAGGAAAGGTTCATTTTGGCTCATGTTCCAGTGCATGGTTGGCTGGCTCCAAGGCAGGACATCTTGGCTCAGGGGAATGGCAGAGCAGAGCTGCTTCCCTCATGGCGTCTGGGAAGCAAAGAGATCGAAGGGAGAAGGGAGACACTGGGAAAAGGAGATGAATGCCAACAAGTTGCGCGCCAGTGACCCTCCTCTTCTTTTTTTTTTTTTTTTAATATTTATTTATTTATTACATTTATTTATTGTGTGTGTGTGGCCAGCTCAGCCCACCAGGGGGCGGGGCTGGCTGGCATGTGGAGCTGGAGGATTGAACCACGGTCCCTGTGCTTTGCCAAGCTTGTTTCAAGTAGGTGCTTTAGACCACTGAGCCATCTCTCCAGCCCCGACCCTCCTCTTCTGACCAGGTCGCGTCACCTCATAGCACAGCAGCCCCATAATCAGTAGAGGCCCCATAATCCAGTCCCCTTCCAACTATGACTGCTATGTCCTGCTATGATTCCAGGAGGCTTTAGGGGGACATCTGCATCTAAACCATGACAACTAGTTTATAATAATTGCTTCACAATGTATATATATTTCAAAATGCCATGTTGTATACCTTAAATATATATAATCTTATCTATTAATTATACTCAGTTAAAAAGACATGCCTCTTTAAGAAAATGGAATATTGGTTCTTTAGTCCCAGTATAAATAATGTTTAAGCAATAGACAAATTTAAGTGATCTGGGGTGAATCCATTATAAAAGGAAGATGATTTTATTATTTATTCTTCATGATTCTCCTTTATTGTACAATTGTATTTAAGTTAAGATAATATACTGCTACCAGTATCAGCTTTTCTTGATACCATATGTTGAAAAGAAAAATTTCAGATTTCTTATGTAATAATTGTAGGGTGTCAACTGTGATGTAGAGCTTTTGAAATCAACAACAAGAGATCGTGAAGAACTTAAATGCATGCTGGAAAAATATGAGCGTCATTTGGCAGAAATTCAGGGTAATGTCAAGGTTCTTACATCTGAGAGAGACAAAACCTTCCTTCTTTATGAACAGGTAGGTTGTTTATTCCTTATTTATGAATAACCAAACAAGTAATGACATTTACTTCTAGATGTGCACATTCTTAGCTTAGAGATCTATAAAATAAGGAAGCTGGCTCCCTTTATTCCATGAGCTCACATGGTTTGTGAGCTCTGAATTTGGATGGTAGGGTTGTTCAGTGAGTTCAAGATTCAAAGACTTATGCTTTGTTTCATAATCAGTTGGCAATTTATTATTTTTTAAAGCAGGAGAAATATGACCAAAGTAGAATTTTTACAATTTTAACTCAGTGACAACTTTTTATTACCTCTCAGATAATCTTCCTATGTCATTCTTCCCAACAATTACTCCTTCAGGAGAAGCAGAGGTAGGAGAGACCATGGGCTCCTTGGAAGGCTGCCCCATTAGTGTGTGCAGGAGACTCTGAGGGATGCCGGAGGGTGCCACCAGGGTATGTAAGCACAGGGATGCACAGAAAGCATGCAGAGATTCGATGAGATTGGCTTTAGGAAGGAGGAACAAGTTGAATTATCTAAAAGTCTGTCTTGAATGACTGAGAATTGTAATAAAAGAAATAAAGTCTGGCGATTGGAGAAAAAATTTTGACTCTAGGGTCAGACAGATGGAGCAAGATGACGGTAATACATTCAGGGTAATTGCCTCAGGCAGTCAAATGTGTGGTACTGGAGTAAGGAGACAGATAGGAGCTGAATGTATAGTTTTAGAAGTCATGGCTTAGATGTGAGTTTTGAGTCTGCAGAATAAATGAAATTCTCAATGAGAATGCTTTACCTAAAGGAACAGAGAGGTCAAGATGCAATGTTCTACAAGTAGAGAGGACCTTTTAAAAAAGATAAAGAACTAGAAGATGTTATAAGCCTGAGGGAGGAAGGAATCTTAAGAAAAAGGGTGATGAAAACAGCATCAGATTTTGCCAGCATGTCAAGAACAGGAATGGCGGAAAGGCTGTTAGATTTGGTGAGCTCATTAGTTGTTCTGTGCCGGGGGTGGGAGCCTGGTTACATTGGGATGAGCAAGTGGGTGGTAAGGAACTATTCTAATGGGTACAGATGGTACTTTAAAAAAATATACCAGAGGAAGAAGAGATACAGCATAGCCAATGGCCCAGAAGGATTAAATGATGGGTTTTCATGATAGAGGAGCCATGCAGGTGACAGAGAGTGAGGACGAGAGAGGCACACTTCAAGGTCAGACCTTAGGAGGTAAGGTCTGGAGTTAGTGAAGGCTTAGATACAGAAATTGGGAATTGATGTGTCTTTTGGTTAAGACTTAGACACTAACTGAATAGGTGGGGGTCCAAATCCTGAGGAAAAAAGATAAGGAATCATCTGCAACAAAACAGGTTCTAGCGGGGGATATAGCTCAGTGGCATAAGTGCCTGCCTGGCAAGTGCAAGGTCCTGAGTTCAATCCCTGGTACCGCAAAAAAAAAAAAAAAAAAAAAAAAAGGTTCTGAAGTCACCTGCAAGCTTGCAGTAGATTTGGGACCGAGGTGTCTCTGAACAAGTGAACAGGGCATATGTTGGGCTATCACAGTATGACAGGTAGTGTTTCTCTCAAGGGCAGAAGTAGCCAGGAAATGCTAATAGCAAATGCACTAAAGTAGAGAAAGGCAAACATCATGATAATACTACGTCAGTATTCTACCTGAATTGTGGTACATTAAAATTTTTACCACGAAATAGATAAATTAAGTATACTGAATATATATATTTAATTGCTAAGCATTCTTTGATTCAATAATTTCTTCCAGAGGGCCAGCCAAATAGCTCAGTGGATTAAAGTGCCTGCAAGCAGGCTCAGGGGCCGGAGGCGGGGGGGTGGTTTGATCCCTAGGCCTGCCATGCTGGCCCTCCCCTCGGGCACACTGAGACTGCAATTGAGACTGGGCATGGTGGCACACGCCTATAATCCCAGCTCTTTGGAGGCTGTAAACAGGTTGATCACTACAAGTTCGATCTAGTAGTGAGCCCCTGAACACCCTGTAGGCCCTTCCCTAAAATACAAAAAGAAAAAAAAAATTCTTCCCAGTTAATTTTATTTAAAATTTTTGATAAATACATTGTAAAGTATCTGTTTTAAAGTACATTTGTTTTCATTTATTTGCATAAATTCATTTGAAAATAAAAACTACTCTTTACTTGCTGTATGCATATTAGTATAGGTTTACATTGTAACTGGTTAGATATAAGGTGGCTATATTTATGTCTAACTTAAAGTTTGTTTTAAAATTTTATCTGTGTGTTTAAATGACAGGCACAGGAAGAAATTGCCCGACTTCGAAGAGAAATGATGAAAAACTGTAAGTCTCCTAAATCAACAACAGCACATGCTATTCTCCGGCGGGTGGAGACTGAGAGAGATGTCGCCTTCACTGATTTACGAAGAATGACCACAGAGCGAGACAGTCTTAGAGAAAGGCTAAAGGTTTGCAGGAATTTTATCTGTCTAAATGTATATGAAACACAAACATAGTGACACTGAAAGCACTCTTTTATTATTTTTTTTTAAATAGATTGCTCAAGAGACGGCATTTAATGAGAAAGCCCACTTGGAACAAAGGATAGAAGAGCTGGAGTGTACAGTTCATAATGTAAAGAAATCACTCTAGGTTATAAAAGCCTCCCAGTGATCTTCTCTCTTCCTTTTTTTTCTGTGTTTAGAGTGTTTTTATTTTTATAAGATAGTGTTTATAGTTCTAAAATACTTAAGGTAGTGTGTATAGTATAAATTGTCACTGTTTTACTTGTTTATTTCCTTCTAAAAATACGAGTAAATCTTTTTGTGTGGTTAGTTGTAAAATGTGTTCTTTTAAAAAATTATTAGGATGTGTTCTCAAGGATTTTAGCAACTTTCTCATCTCTCTATTTTGTTAAAAATATAATGCCAAATATGAAGATACCAAGAATTTGAGATGCTGTGTATATATATTTGAGATGTTCTGACTATATAAGCAGGATTTAAGTGTATTTAACTTTTGTTATCAAGTTTATTTTACTTTTTTTAAATTTGTGTGTGTGTGTGTGTGTGTGTGTGTGTGGCCAGCTCAGCCCACCAGGGGGCGGGGCTGGCTGGCATGTGGTGCTGGGGGATTGAACCGCGGTCCC